TAGTCCTTCTGGGAAGATGGACCTCTCAAAAAAACTAATTAGAATATTAAGTTTTAAATACTTAGTTTTTAAAGCCAGTTTTTTTGTTTGTTTTTGATAAAAATTTTATTACTTTTTTTTTTAACAACAACAATGTGTGTACATTTTGGGGATAAGGAAAAATCCACAAAGGCAAAAAGCAAACAAAAATATACCCATTTTACCACCACCCATAGACTACTTTTGTTTATTCATCCTTCAGATGATTGTATATGCATATATATGATATACAAACAAAATCTTCCCTTTCAAAGATACAGTAGTCACATATTACTTAGTGGTGTGTTTTTTTCACCCCCTAATCCATCTGGAACCTCTTTTTGCACAAATGAGTGAAGTTCCCCTACTAAATGACAAGAGACTGGTAGATTGGTTCAAAATACAATAAACAGTAAGATGCAGATAATAAGATGTTTCTAAAACCACCAGCAACAAGTTAAAAGATAGGAAGATGGGCAAAGGTCTGTCCGAAAATGTAAATCAACAGAAAGCTACATGACAGTGTTAATAGCAATAAAAATCAAGGAAAATTACATTACATAGGGGTAAGGGTGGTTTCTATTAACCTTCCAGTGCATCACTTGAAGTTTGATTCTTTCTCTCCTTATCTCATCCATTTCATCCTCTTAAGCATATTTTCTTTGCTTAAATGCCTGTTGTGTATGTCTTCTTTAAATTCTTGGAGAGATTGAATCAGCCTTTCTCTGAAAGTTCCTTCTGATTTTTCCTCTTCTTCTGGTTTATCCTTCTTCTCTGATATTTCCTCAGACTGTTGTTTTTTCCTCAAGTTTTAATTCACTCTCATTCTCTGGTTTTCCTTCATTTTTTGGACAAGGTTTCATTGTGTGTGTGTCTGCCTCCCCCTTTTAAAAAAAAAATTTCTGCTTATTCCTTTTGGAATACAATTGCTCCTGCACTGATCCAGTTAGTTTTTTCCTCCTTTTCTATTTTTTTCCTTTTCATAAAGCCATGTATTGTGCTAAGGAAAAACGACCTGCAGACAGGCTAGAAAAGGGCAGGGGAGAAGGGAAGCAGGGGCGGCTATCACTTGGTGGGGCGACCAGCAAGGGGGTAGGACACACATACCTTGCCGCATTCTGGGTCTCAATTATGAAAAGTTTTCCATCGCAGTTTCCCCCAATTCCCCCTCTTCTCCCCAGTGCAACTTCGCTGGCAATTTCCATCAGAGAGTGGGAAAGTCAGATTGTTTCCAAACTATCTTTAAGACTGAGGTGGGGCTTGGGGGGAGGGTGGGTATTGGGAAAGCTGTCTTAGATGGCAGAGGATGGTTATTTTTAAACTAGAACTGCTCTCCTTGTCCTTCTCCCGGGATCCTAGTCTCTTTCTCGTGGGTCATCATTTTCCGCAAACCTGCACAATTCTGGAAAGTTGATTCCTTCTCCTTTACTTGGCCTGAGGCCTTGCCGCCTGCACAGCAAGAGGGAGCCGGTACCCAGATGGCAACAAGTTAAAGTCAATCTTGATTAGCTTCTGTAGATTGTTTTCCTCTCTCTATAGCAGCATTCCAAACTTCAGCTGTTTTATAAAACACCTGGCGACTGACCTCAGACCTCTACCAATTCACCCTTAATTCTGTTCTCTAGTATTTCTTTTTCATGTGCTTCCAAAAGCACAGAAGACATTTTGTGATTTGGAGTAATAAACGGTGCTTGACACCGTTCTCTTTGTATTGCTCTCTTGTTGTGTCCTTTAGCAGAAAACTGTTTACTTTGTCTCCCCAACCTCCCCCATTTCCTAGTACACCCCTGCCACCTTCCACCTCTGAACTCATTTTCATTTCAGTTTATGTGAAATTGTAGCCCTGAGCAGAAGCACAGGTACCAACATCTCCCTCTGGCTGCCCTGTGGACAGGTGTGTGGGTGCTAACAGACTCAGGTTTTTCAGCTAAGGGACTCCATGGCTTGCTTTTCTCTCTCAGTTGGTGCTCCTGTCATGGACAGCATTATTTAACTGAAGACAGTGAGTAGGAAGGATTTTTAAAGAGTAGTGTTGATTGTTTCTTAAGAAGGAAATACTATGATTGATGGTCTTTATAGAAAGAACTTTTGCAGAGTATAGGACCTTTGATGGAATCCTGAGTCCCATCCAGAATCTTATGAGGTGGGACATTCCCACTAGCAAGGACAAGCAGACCAGCCTGTAACAGGTACAGTGACAGAAGATACATCTTCAAAGAAAGATCATCAAGAAAAAAACAAAACAAAAAATGTCAGCATGACTGGCTACTACTACAAGAATAAGCAAGCTGTTTGCCATCAAGGCTAGCAATCAAATGCCTTCAGGACAAACTCCCCTCTTTAGACTGAAACTCAAAGGGAACACACAAACAAGCATGTAAGCTTACTGGCGACCACATTGGTCTACTCATGAATGGAAGAGGGGAAAGGCAACAATAAAGAAATGGGCTGAGTTCAACCCCGGTCCATTGAATCCCGTTGACCTGGAGATGAGAGAGAGAAGAGGAAGGGCTGGTTGGTCCAAAGTATGGTGAGAACTGAGGACACTTGAGCACATGTACAAGGACATAGCCACAGAGGTCTAGAACTGAGAGTGAAGCATCCAGCTGATATGAAGTGAGGGGAGATGCCCAAGAACACCCAAACTTGCAGACAGTACCCTTTTGACCTATCCCTCATGGCCTGATAATCAGAACTCGACTAGAGTTGTGTTTTTTTTTTTTTTTTTGATAAAGGAAACAAGGGTAAATTGTTAAAATTTGATGAAACTTACCTATACTCAGAGAGATAGTTACTCTAAATACCAACAGAGAGGGAAAGAGTCTTCACATCAAGTATCAGTGCTATCCCATCTGTACACAGGGTAGATAGGGACAGGCAACTTAGACATTGGCTACCTAAAAGGAGGGGGCAATAAAGGCACAAAGTGACTGGCTTACAAGATTTAGAGGGAGTTTAAGAGTATGGGGGAAAGAAAGAGTCCCCACTGATTGGAATACCTAAAAGAGGTTCTAGAACTTGCCTAGTGAAATAGGCCTCTTGCAAAGCCTTTGTAGCGTACACTCAATGCTAGCAAGTACTTAGGATTTTGTTTTACAGCTAATGCTCTACCATTTTTATTGAATTGTTTTTGCTCTCCTCAGGGAAGGTAGCAAGGGTGGTTACTGCAGTTCTAAACTTCATATGAAGTTATGAGCAGCATGCTAGGAGTGAAGGATGGTTGGTTCATTCTATATCTCTGTTTATCAATGAAAAAAATATTCCAGAAGCATTCCAACAATGTCCTACCTTCCTCTTATATTTTATTGGTTAGATTTTATCATACTCCTAAAGTAAATTAAGCACTGGTGAGAAAAACTAGTCATTTGGTTCTCCTCACCCCCACTGGTTTCACATGGCCACATGGAAGAAGAAAGATTCCTAAGCCATGTTGGTTCTTTTGTGAAGGAAGGCATGTGAATGACTAGGGAATGGAATACCAAGTATCTTGAAGGTTGTTATTGATAAGTTGAGTTAGTTCTAACTCCTCTAACAACCCTCTGTATGGTTTCTAGGAGCAGCTGGTGCATTTTAACAACACACTTTGCAGTTAGCAGTCCAGTTATGCAGTGGTTAATTTTATTTCTCAAGCACCTAAAATTTGAGTATCTTTAAATAAAGGAGTTATAACTCACAAGTTAGCTTTAGACAGTGCTGAGCATTTGGTAGGTGTTCAGAAATATGAGAGGTGATTGACATAAAAATACCCTATTTCAGTTTATTCGAAGGATATAGATTTTTTACATTAACATCTCTGAAGCACCTTACTTTTAATCATACCTTGTAATTGCCATTGTTGGCACCCAGTTGTGTGAAAATCATCTACTGGTATCTTATAGGGAGATCAAGTAATCTCCAGTATCCCCACTTCTCAGATTTGATGAAATATTTCAGTGTTCACTAGTTTATTGTGGTGGTGGTGGTTGGTGATTATGTGCTGTGGAGTCAGTTCTAACTCACAGTGACCCTGCATTGTGTTTCTGAGGCTGTACATTTTTATGGGAGCAGAAAGCCTCATCTTTCTCCCACAGAATAGCTGGTTGTTTCGAATTGCTGACCTTGAGTTAGCAACCCAACTTGTAAGTATTTCTTTTAACCATCATTTAATTCAGTGAGTAGATATTACAATGAAGGAAGAAGACACAGCAGGTAGCTCTGTGGTCTATTGCTTGACAGCAGTTCTGGAAAGAAAAATTATTGGACCTTAAATTGTAAGTTTACTCCACTTCACATATTGATGGAAATGGTTGACTCAATAGGCTTGTTAAGCTAGAGTGCAAGGGAACAGTTTATCTCATTACATTCACAAAATTCAGAACTG